CCTCTTATTCACAAATTCACTCTTGTGTTTACACTCTACCTCTTGTCCGATCTGCTTCTGGGTTCCCTTCTGAATCCTGACACAGTCCCAGTGTGTAAAACAAAGAGGTTTAAAAACAGCTTTGTTCTAGCAGCGATCATTCAGATCAATAAGTTGTAGTAACAGTTGTTGTTTTCACTGCATTTTTATCTTATTTATTCTAGTGTTTTTTATTGATCTCTCTTTGTAAGTCCTGATTTTTAGATATCTTTCATTGTTTATCATTTAGGTACGAAAAAGTGACCTTGAACCTTGTTATGAAACTGGAGGTTAAAGAGGATGCTGACTGTATCCAGGAGCTGAATAATCTCTGTACAATAAAACTCAACGATGGCCTTTCCTAATTCTTATTTTCCAGTAGGAACAGCTTTGATCTCTGTGTGTTGAGAGTGAAACAAGCCTCCACTGACAGTCTGAGATTTTAATTGCTTCAGTCAGTGAGTCAGAGAACAGTTAGAGAGCTGTTTGGATTCATTAGTGGGGGATTGAAGAGAAAAGGCACGAACGAGTCTGCTTCCTCTCAATGAGCCACAAATAATAGATAAATGCAGAGAGAGGGAACAGACTGCAGTCTCTTTTCTGTTCATGAAAGCAAAAGTACTAATTCGCTCACAACATCTTATTCACCTCCATACTGCCTTTTTAAAAACATATTGGTAAAACCATTAGTTTCTCAGGAATGGAAGCTGAATGAAAGAGTGATACCAGTTCTCAAATCAGGAGCAGCTCATAAATGTAGGTAGCTAATGTAGCTCAACAGTTAATGAAGTAAATAGAATCAGTGCCAGAATTGGACAAAAAAGGAGCCAGTACCCTAAAAACAAACCCCGAACCAGTACGTGTTTTTTGCTATTTTAACAAGGACATTTTCAGTGCTGCACTATCAGCGTCAAGCTAGCTGTGTTACTTTTTTCCAATCTGGCTCTACTCTGCCTCCAACTTGCTCTGACTATAACCTTTTTTAACCCTAACCATCTCACTCCTCATGCCTAAACTTAAACCCAGAAAGACAAAGTCAAGCGTTATGCAGGTATTTCAGTGTGCATACCTAGACTAAGCTGGAGTGTCAGTGCACAGTAAGAAGTAGATGTAAGGCACTGTATAGAATCAAATAAAAAAGACTGTCAACTGTGGTGAAGTAGTCTCTCTGGATTCCTAAAAAAGGAATTTCATAGTTTAGATCATAATATTCATAAACTTTAAATTTACTGTGGTTTAATTCTTCCACAGGGTTCTGTTCTTGGTCCATTTCTATTCAGTTCATATATAAATATTTTATCACAATCATGTTAGTGTATGCAGAAATGACAGTTGTGTACATATCTGGTAGAACTGTTCTCCAAACAGATATTAACAGTCCACAGCAGCTTGGTTTGAAAGCTTAAATAATGTTAAGAGTCAGTTTGCTTTTCTTGAGGGCTCATAAAAGCAAACAAGAGTGGTGGCAATTTTGTTAAATAAAGCAAACAAAGTAAGATATTGTCTTTCTGTACATTTTATTCAGCATCTATAGAAAGACTTACAGCAACCCTCGCATACACTACTACGAGGCAGTGTACCTTTATTGCTCCTTGAGAGTCACACATTTAAGTTAATAGAGGGCTAAACAGGAAGTTAGCCTCTTCACTGGCTTCATACGCCACTGAGCAACTTTCATGGCACCACCTCCAACTCTGTATCCAGTTTTCTTTAAACATCCATGAAGCGAACAGCACTCTGCTTCCTCTTTCATGGAGAAGCAAAATAAAAAAGCGTTAATGGAGCCACTTCCTGTCAGATTACTCCAAACTAAAAGATCAAAGTGGAATGTGATGATGCAACAAAGACTGTTGACATCACGGAATGCGATGATGTCATCAGGCAGGTGATTGGAGGTTCACAGTAACAAAGTAACAGATCAGATCCACAACAACTGACACTGAAACAAAACAGTGTTCTCATTGGACAAAGATGGAGGACAAGAACGGTGTAGATCATCCTATCATTGCGGCTACAGTTTCAGCCCTGTGTGAGGACAAAAACAGCTGGAAACATGTGGAGGAATTCTTCACAGCAGAAGTGCGGTGGTTGAAAGATGAAAATACTCGTCTTCAGAGTAAAATTGACACGTACCAATCCAATGAAATAGAAAGTGCATACTTAATAAAGGAGCTGCATGAGCTGAAGAAGGACCTAAATGCAAGTGAGGAATCTTTGAAAAGCTGCCAGAAAGAACTGGAATACCACAAGGAGAAAGTGAAGCAGTTGACCAAAAAAAAAGACCTCCAGGGAGAGGAGTTGTTGCTCTACAAACAGGAAGTGTTTGCTTTGAGGAGGCAGAAGAACAGGGATGTAGACATGGCCAGGTCCCAGTGGCACAAGCAGGAGCAAGAGCTAATGGAGAAAATACACATCCTTGAGCTGGAGGTGGAGAAACTTCAGAAGGTGAACACCAATCTGGAGAGTAAGATATTCCTTACAAAGAATCTCATAGTGGAGCTCGCCCAAAAAGATAAAACCATCGCCAAAGAAAAGAAAAGACATTCTGACCTAGAGTTTCAACTGGAACGGGCAATGAAAGAGCTGGACGCCTGCCCTCCACCAAAGGTCATCACTTTGCCCTTCTACCTGCCCTCTGATGTGGATAGGGTGTACAAGCAGAACCAGGACCTGAAAGAGAGGCTGATCACCAAGACCCAACAGCTGACCACTAAGCGCAGACAGCTAGAGAGGAAGGATCAAATCATAGACGAGAAGGACAAGCAGTGTGAGGAGCTGAAGCACCAAATGTCCCGGCTGCCGGCTCCAGAGTCATTAGACCTGATCCCAAAGTGCCAGTGGATTATCAGAGAACAGAGTGAAAAGATAAAGTCTTTAAGGGGACAGGTGAACATGCTCCAGCAAACAGAGGATGGGTACAAGATAGAGTACAAGAAACTGGCCGAGAGGGAAGCGACCAGCAGGAAATTGTATCTGAGTGAGAGGATGCGGAACATGAATTTGAGGGAGGCCTTGCCGAAGAGTGGGGTCAAGCTGCTTCCTGAACACAAATCAGGAACCAAGCAGACCCCACCCATCTCCAAGCAAAGAGAGCCCCACATAAAGACCCCCAAATCAAGTTCTGTCCGCCTCCCACCCACCTCCCAGAAACTGGAGTCTGAAGTTAAAACACCTTACACTGTTCTCCCACCCATCTCCACACAGCGTCATGCCAAAGTCTTCATGACTGAAACAAGTCGAGACTAAGACTACTAAGACTATGTTTCTTAAACTCTTCCCCGACACACCACCATATCCCTCCAAGATTCCTCCCTTTCTTCCAGACCAGACCAAAAAATGTACACCAAATTATTGCAGACCAGACTAGTGCACCCGTTAAACAAAGAACTAAACTTCTAACCCTCTGCTCATGAGATCCCGGCTAAGTAAGAAACTCCTTTGAATCGCTCACATTGCCCCATTCCTGCACCAAGACCATCTTGTAAGCCACCTCCAGTCAACAAAACCACCACATAAAAAATAAAACCTCCTGAGGAGGGCAGCACCATGTCCGCTCAGTGCGGTCAACGCCTGAGCGCCATCGTGCAGCATAGGGCGTCACGGCACCTCAGTGTTCATTAAGCACTGTGGTTCACAGAAGGTCCTGGGTTCAGGTCTCTCTTTGAGGAGGCTTCATGTCCTCCCTGTGTCTGCGTGGGTTTCCTCCGAGTATGCTTCGGTTTCCTCCCACACACTCCAAAGACATAATGCACAAAAGTGAAATAAAACAATGAATAAACTGTGGTAGCGTGTGTGATTCTCTCAACCCGAGTGTTTAGAATACAGAGAAATATTATTTTATTGATCTGTAGTTTTCATAAAGCCTCCAGTATGAACAACTTCATTATGAAGTTTCTCTATTTCAACCCACAATGCAACCTGAACCCATCCAAAAACAGCCCCTTCAGTTACATAATCTTTATTTCCCGTGTGTGTGTGTTAATGTGTGTTGAACAGATGAATGTTGGCAGTACAAAAAGTTTTTTCATTAAAAGACGAACAGAAAAAGACCAAAGTTCTCACGACACAAACAATCTGATCTTTGTGTGTGTTAATGTGTGTGTGTGTGTGTTGTGTGTGTGTGTGTATGTTGTGTGTGTGTGTGTGTTGATGTGAGTGTGTGTGTTAATGTGTGTATGTGTATGTGTGTGTGTGGGATGATGGTTTCACTGTTTCCAAGAACAGACTGAACACATCAATATCTGTCTGCTGAAGATATGTGGACAACAGGAAACGAGTTCAAGCAGCTGGGACACTGTGTGTGTGTGTGTGTGTGCAGTGTTTGTCGGCTGAAGACAGTTAGAGTCTGATTGAGTAGAAAGCAGAACCCTGTAGGGCTGCAGTTGGAACAAAGTTACAGACGTTTCCGTAGTAACGGGTTCTGAACACTGGACACTGGAGATGGTAATGACTCAACCCCGCAGACACATGACTTTGGATGCTGAAGATAAAAACAGTGGAGTGAGACAAAGAGTGGGAGACGATTGAAGACAGACAGAGAGAGACAGACGGACAGAGGACAGTCAGACAGACAGACAGACGGACAGACAGAGGAACAGACAGCTGCTGACATGAGCAAAAAACTGTCATTTTTTGAATTTTGGAGGAGTAAGAAGGAGAGAGGAGCGATTCTGGAGAGAACCAATCAGCTGAGACTTTTACCTTCTCAACAGTGAGTCCAAAAATCCACATTTATTGTCTTTATTAATTAAACTAGTCTTTATTAAAGACACAGGTCTTTGTGTGATCAATAAGTATCATAATACAGGCTTTCATCTTTTCAGCTCATCAGGGGTGTGTCCAGAGTTTTGAGACAGCACCATTCTCAATTAATGTAATGCCAACACTGTTTATGGACCCCAGACTGCACAAATATTCAAATAGGCAAAAGTAGCACATTTATACAACATGCAAAAACTGCATGGGATTAGTATTAAGTGTCTGCAGAGGAGAGACTCGTAGACCCGTAGAACCCATTTTCATTCAGATATCTTGAGGTCAGAGGTCAGATTCTGAGGGTGTCGTTGTTGTTGTTGTGTGGGCAGTTCCCACCATGAGCAAGCACTTGGCAACTTGGGGGTAAAGAGAGAAGTGTGATTGAGTATAAATCAGTGATCAATAATTGAATGTAAATTAGTGATCATTAACAGTGAATCACTGAGCTGGTAAATAATAATTTCATTATTGACTATTGATCTTCAGTGAATTTCTTTTCACAGGAAACGGTTGCTAGAAGACAGCGCAGTCCGGGCAGCGCTGCAGAATGTGCAGACGGTGTCTCTGCTGCCTCCTGTTGGTACAGAGGTCTTCAGACGCTTCACACCGGCCGCACTGGAGGTGATCCAACAACGACAGGAAGCAGAGAAGAAAGAGCGAGAGAAGCGGAAGAAGAACAAAGAGGTAGAAACACAATAATCACAGTTCAGCCGTCAATAATAAGGAATCAATAATAAGCAATCAATAACCACTCTCTGGTTGACAGGAAGCACAGAAAGACTGGCTCAAACCAGCCAGAGACCTAGAGGCTGGGAAGCTCCTCCCATTCATCTATGGGGACCCACCCCCTGACCTTCTCAACACCCCATTGGAGGAGCTGGATCCCTTCTACCAATCACAGAAGGTCTTTCTCTCTCTTTCAGGAAATGACTGACCTCTGCCTTTCTGACCTCTGCCTCTGTCTCTATCTGACCTCTCTCTGTCTGTCGAACTTCTGTATGTCTGGCCTCTGTCTCTATCTGACCTCTGTATGACCTATGACCTGTCTCTGTCTAACCTCTGTCTGTCTGTCTGACCTCTGCCCCACAGACATTCATTGTTCTCAGTAAAGGAAACATCATCCACAGGTTTAATGCTGAGTCGTCCTGTTACCTGCTGAGTCCGTTCAACCCGCTGAGGACCGTTGCCACCAAGATCCTCATTCACTCATATCCTTTGTGATGTCACACCATACTCCTCCCTGATTGGTCCTGTGGCCTGGAAATAAATCTCAGTGCGCCATCTTAAAAGATGTCCCCGTTCCTAAACTGCATCTGGAGGAGAGAGGAGGGAGGAGGTGTCTCTCTCCTCTCTCCTCTGTCTCTCTTTTTGGTTGTCTTTGTCTCTTTGTTGTTGTTGTTGTCTCCTTGTTTTTTGTCTTTGTCTCTTTGTTGTTGTCTTTGTTGTTGTCTTTGTTGTTATTATTGTCTCCTTGTTTTTTGTTGTTGTCTTTTTGTTGTTGTCTCTTTGTTGTTATTTTTCAATTCAATTCAATTTTATTTGTATAGCGCCAATTCATAACAGAAGTTATCTCAGGACATCTCTTTTTGATGCATAACA